TGTTTCCAGCACGCTGTTATACTTCATTCAGTGCGCTTTCGATTTATCGCAACGTTACTTGCAAAGGTTCCAGGCGGTCAATTATTTTTGAAGAGAAAGATAGGTGGCGGAGCACCTCAAAAAAATATTTCGGACGTTTCTTTTGTTGGCTCTGCGCATTCTTATCTGCACGGAGGCCCGTGTGCACTTGGGACTTGCTAGCGGGCTTGTCGATGCGAGGCTGCCTTCTAAATGAACAGGGCCCCGCACGCCTCTTGACGGCCACAACACACACACACACACACACAACACACACACACACACACACACACACGCACATACACACATTATGTTGGGAGGCACGTGAATCCGCGAGGCATGTATGAATAAAATCAAATTTGGTGTATAATAAATTATGAAAAGATGGGCTTGGGCGAGGCAAGGCCTTGCCTTTCGGCCCGTGGGCCCCAACAAACCCTTTCCGCACACACACATGTAGGAGGGCCAGTGCAGTGGCACGCTCTCTTAGGCCCCTCGCTGGGGCGATAACGAGTATACGAGAGGAAAATCCGACCGAAAATGCATTGAAATTTAATAATATTCGGCTGTGCTTCCTCCGCGAGCGCGGAGCGCGGGGCGGGCCAACCAAAATAAAGGCGAGTGTGTGTGTGTGTTTTGAACCCGGGACTTTCATGTGGTGCACGACTGTGTGCCGTACGAGTGCGGTGCGATGCGCAGGAGTGCGTTCCAGATAAAGAAAGAAGGAAAATGAAATGAGGAGTCCGTGTTCGAACCCGGGCTGGGGGGAAAAACACGGGGCCAATACTGTCACAGAAACAGAACTTTGATACCGCCACATTGGAAAACAACAGAGCTCCCTGTGCGCGCGGCCAAGCTTTCAAAGCGACTTCACTGTAAAAACACCTTTATGTGTCTAAGTTTTAGATACGTTTCAAGTGTAAAGGTATCATCTGCTAAAACTTCCGTACTTTTGTACGGGAAAGATACAGACGAACATAGTACGGAACTACGGAAAAAAGGGGCGGGGGCGGCCGGTCAAAACTAGCCAGCCCACTGATTTTGCCGCCCGCGATTCGTTATGTTGCAGGGAGTTTGGGCATTACGCCGCTCGGTACACATCATCAAGGACCGGGCGTGATTACGCCTAACCCGTTCGTTAGCACGGCCGGGGCGGGGCGGGCCGGGGCGGGGTGCTCCAATTTCATCAATCGGCTCGCCATTCTCACGACCCTCATTAAAGGTGTCCCAGAGGTAACAACATCGGTCCTGTTTCATCTTTTGGGAGGAAAAAAAATGGGAATTATTTCAAAATTTTATGAAAACTTAAGTTGCAATGTTTTTGTTTTTTTTTTCGTGGTGTGTGTGTGTGTGTGTGTGTGTGTGTGTGTGAGAGAGAGAGAGAGAAGAGAGAGAGAGAGAGAGAGAGAGAGAGAGAGAGAGAGTGACTTCATTCCCGCATTGTCAGTGTGGGGCCGTACGCGCGAAAGCATAGTGAAAGCATACTATAGCGAACGCCTCAAGTGCGCGGAGCGAAGAGACGTGATGACGACTCTGGAGGTTCGTTCGACCACTTCCACCCCGCCCCGCCCCACCCCGCCCCGCCGCGCCCCGGTTGCAGCTTGTCACTTCGACTTCCGCCGGCCTGGAAAGAGCTTAGGAAAGATTAATGGCGGAACACATTAGAGCGAGGCGAGGCCGGGCCGGGCCGCGACTAAGCCATCCCGGCCTCCGTCCAGCCTCCGTCCGGCCTCGTCCAGCCTCTGGCCGGCCGAAGGGAAGAAGGGAAGACGAGGCATTAGCGCGGCAAAAACGAGACAACGGCCGCCGATTAGCGCTGTCCCTGTCGCACTCGCGGGGCGCTCCGAAGGGGTGCGAGTGCGACGGCGCGACGCGAAGAAGCAACGGCCCCGCGCACCGCATCGCCCGATTCTGCCGAACCAGCCCAAGGGTAGAAAAAGAACCGCCCGCGCTGGTGACACGGTCAACTAAAGCCCGTTTCTTCTATTCCCACGCGCAAACGTGTGGTGTCATATTGACAAAAACGAGTCCTGTTTTTCGCTCGTTGCCTGAGCGCGTTGCCATGACGACGACAGCGGCGACTCGGCCGCTCCATATTGCTTGCGTATTACGATTTTATGGTGGCGGGGCCCTTCTAATCCGCAGCGAGCCCCCGTCGCCGCGCCGCCGGGCCGCCAGGACGTCACCACGAGCTGCTAATGACACTGTTCCCCCACCCCGGGCATCTTGACGCGAGATTGAGGGTATTTATTGTTTATTGGTCGGATCACGGTGGGCCTTGACGCCGAGAGGCTGGGAGGCCGACGAGAGAGGCCACTGGAAGGCTCTCCCCCACCCCCCTACCCCGCCTGATTGGCCGCCACGCCGCGCCACGCCGTGCGGTAATCCCCCGGCAGTGTAGGCAACGCGCCGACAGCCCCGGCCGCCGCACGGCCTATGCGCGCCGATGCAGGGGCCGGCCGGCCGCTGGACAGCCCGCCGCACCGCCGCCTGCCCGGCCGGTCTGTCTGCCTGTCTGTCTGCCTGTCTGTCTGTCTGCCTGTCTGTATGTCTGTCTGTCTGTCTGTCTGTCTGACTGTCTGCCTGTTTGTCTGTCTGTCTGTCTGACTGTCTGCCTGTTTGTCTGTCTGTCTGTCTGTCTGTCTGTCTGTCTGTCTGTCTGTCTGTCTGCCTGTCTGTATGCCTGTCTGTCTGTCTGCCTGTCTGTCTGTCTGTCTGTCTGTCTGCCTGCCTGTTTGTCTAGGACTCCGTCCGTCTATCTGCCTGCTTGTCTAGGACTCCGTCCGTCTGTTCGCCCCCTCGCCCCCCTCCGCGCCGCAAAGTACCCTTGCACGCTTTCTTCCGCCCGGCGCGCCGTCAAGCACTGTGCGAATATCATGTAAAATCATTAGGCGGGGCGGGGCGGGGCGGGGCGGGGCGGGGCGGGGCGCTGCACGGCGAGGCGCCGCCGCACAACGAACACTTAAACACAACACTTTGATGTCCTCCCTTTGGTTGCGCCTCGCCTAGCAGTGCCGCGGCGTTTGTCGCGCCTCTCAACGACCGCGAGCGCCAAATAAGAGGAGAGGAGAGGAAGAAAACTACAAATCGACAAACGTTCGTCAAAAAATAAACACAAAAAAAAATTGGAAAGCTGGAAAAAAAGAAGGAAACGCTGTTGATATCGCAAGTGTTTGAACCGTTGACAAAGCGCGCCGCGCGACACATGTGCGCCGATGTGTGTGTGTGTGTGGGTGTGTGTGTGTGCACGGCGAAATGAGGGAACAACAGCGGTACCGTCACCACGCGCACGCGTTCAACAACCAAGGGGTGTTGTGTTTCGTTTTGTCGCTGAAAATTCGCGCGAGATCTCTGTCAGTCAGTCAGTCTGTCTGTCCGCCCGTCTGTGTCTGTGTGCGTGTGTGTGTGTGTCAGTGTGTGCGTGTGTGTGTGTGTGTTGGTTGACGCGGCTTGCGCCTTTGTGAGCCATTAAGGACCACAGTGTAATGCAGTCATAATGAGCTATGCGCCTGATGGGATAGCGGCGAATCGGGTTGAGGAGGGGGGGGAGGCAAGGTGTGACAGTGGGGCGGTAACGAGTCGCCTGCCCTTAATTGCAGATAGGGCCACTCGCTTTATGCAAGCCGAGCTTCACAAGGCAATGCCTTCGCGTGAGTCTCCGTGAAAAAAAAAAATTAACAGTGCGGTGTGTTTGTTTGAGAAGATTCTTGTTCATGACACCAAGCTTGTCGTGCACTCAAGTTAAGGGTTTTTTTTTGTAGAATCTTTAAGTTCTGAACACCTAACGCCTGAAAAGTCAACCAAAAATTGTAAAAAAAAAACAACTTTTAAACAGTTTTTAGGTTTTGTTTCTTTTAATTATTTTTTTTTAAATTTCTGCGCTGGTTTTCCTATTTCTCGCACTTCCTGCTCGTGTTTCTGCGGGCCGTGCAGGCGTTGCTGGCGCGTCACCACGGTGCTTGGGGGGACAATGGCAGCTGGCGTCTTAATGACAGTGGCGTGGCCCTCCCTCTCTCCGTCTCTCTCTTTCTAGTGTGGCGGGCCTGCCGGGGCACCGAGCCCCATCCTCGCCTCGGCACTGAATGAGTTAATACGCCTGGGCCCTTGTAGTCTTGCAGTCCGCCCCGGCCATTCAGCCCGGCATTCGCCGACATTCGGCATTGTGGCCGGCTTTATTTAACCCCGTACAGTGGGCCAGAAGACCGGTGGAGGCGGCCACAACTCTAGACGCGTTTTGAGCTCCAGAGTCGCTAAACAGGACTCGAACCGAACGTGTGACCCCACCAATGGATTGCTATCCGAACGAGGAGTCGATTGGTGGGGTCACACGCGCGATTCGAGTCCTGTTTAGCGACTCTGAGGCTCAAAACGCGTCGAGAGTTTTGGCCGCCTCCACCGGCCTTCTGGCCCACTGTGCCCCGACCTCCGTCTCTCTCGCACTCCTGGGGCGTTCCGCACGGGTGCGAGCGAGACAGAGCGACCAAGCACCGCGCGAATCGGCCAGTGCTTCCGTGAAATCGGGTTGGGGGGGGGGTCCTGGCAGCTGGGGCTGCGGGGGCCTCGCCGTCCCCAAAGCCAAGAGGCGTGCGAAATGAGACAAAGCCCCCTCAATCGTGGGGCTAAAATAAGGGGCAGGGCCGGGGAGGGGGGAACAAGGGAATCAAGGGGTAGGGAGGACTCTCGGGCGGGGCACCTGTCGTACCCGTTTGTTTCGACCCACAACAATGCCAGGAACCATTCAGCAGGCCCATCCATTCACCGGGGCCCCCCTTCCCCGAGGAGGGCCCCCGCAGCCCCAATCTGACCGTCATGCTCCGAATGGCAGAGTGGCACATTCCCAAGGCAGTATGGCCGCGTTAGCTCGGCCCAATGTGCTGCCAGGCCACGCCGGGCCACGCCAGTCCGCGCCTCAGTGCGATGACGACCCTCGTTTTGCGAATCAAGGCTTCGCACTTGGCGGCGTTTTTGGCGCCAACACTTACGAGGGTTCCCTGCAGTCAGACTCCGGTCAACCACAGCCACCTGGAACACACAAACAACGAGGCACTGTGAAAAATGACTCCTCAGAAACCAACACACCGACACATGCTGCGCTTCCACTGCACCAATGAGAAATTCGCTTTTCTTTCAACTTTTCTACTTTTTTGGGTCCGTTTCCCACCTTTTTCCTCCGCGGGCTTTCACTCCACTTTTCCAGCCCCCCCCCCCTCCCCCTCTTTCTCCCTCCCTCCTGCAGAGTGGCCGGGCTGGCGTCCGAGACATTTGTAAGGACTATTGTCAAGTCACACGTCCAGGAGAGCGCGGCGTGGCGCGGCCTAACAGTGGCGCGGCCCAACAGTGGCGCGACAGTGGTGCGGCCTAACAGTGGCGCGGCCCAACAGTGGCGCGGCCCAACAGTGGCGCGGCCCAACAGTGGCGCGGCCCAACAGTGGCGCGGACAGTGTGCGGCCTACAGTGGCGCGGCCCAACAGTGGCGCGGCCCAACAGTGGCGCGGCCCAACAGTGGCGCGGCCCAACAGTGGCGCGGCCCAACAGTGGCGCGCAGTGGCGCGGCCAACAGTGGCGCGGCCCAACAGTGGCGCACAGTGGCGCGGCCAACAGTGGCGCGGCCCAACAGTGGCGCGGCCCAACAGTGGCGCGGCCCAACAGTGGCGCGGCCCAACAGTGGCGCGGCCAACAGTGGCGCGGCCCCAACAGTGGCGCGGCCCAACAGTGGCGCGACAGTGGTGCGGCCTAACAGTGGCGCGGCCCAACAGTGGCGCGGCCCACAGTGGCGCGGCCCAACAGTGGCGCACAGTGGCGCGGCCCAACAGTGGCGCGGCCCAACAGTGGCGCGGCCCAACAGTGGCGCGGCCCAACAGTGGCGCGGCCCAACAGTGGCGCGGCCCAACAGTGGCGCGGCCCAACAGTGGCGCGGCCCAACAGTGGCGCGGCCCAACAGTGGCGCGGCCCAACAGTGGCGCGGCCTAACAGTGGCGCGGCCCAACAGTGGCGCGGCCCAACAGTGGCGCGGCCCAACAGTGGCGCGGCCCAACAGTGGCGCGGCCCAACAGTGGCGCGGCCCAACAGTGGCGCGACAGTGGTGCGGCCTAACAGTGGCGCGGCCCAACAGTGACGCGGCCCAACAGTGGCGCGGCCTAACAGTGGCGCGGCCCAACAGTGGCGCGGCCCAACAGTGGCGCGACAGTGGTGCGGCCTAACAGTGGCGCGGCCCAACAGTGGCGCGGCCCAACAGTGGCGCGGCCCAACAGTGGCGCGGCCCAACAGTGGCGCGGCCCAACAGTGGCGCGGCCTAACAGTGGCGCGGCCTAACAGTGGCGCGGCCTAACAGTGGCGTGCCGTGCACCGCCTTGCGCCGCCGCGCTCGCGGAGTGCTACTTTAACGCGCACCGCGGACCAGCGCGCAGGCGGGACGCACGGCGTTAACTCAATTTCAGACCGATCGGATACAGTCAAAGTCCGTAAACAAAACAAAAACAATTTTATTTTTCGAATAAAATACCTTTTTGGTTTGTTTATCGCAGCTGAAAGCCCTAAACTTTAAATCTTTCCGCGGGAAAAATTCAATTCTTTTAGGCACTATTGCTGAATATGAGTCGCAAATTTTCGCTTTTGTCTCTTTCTTTCTCTTTATATTTTTCTATTTTCTAACCCCTACATTATCATATTTCTTAAAGTTAATTCTGTAATTTAATTCTTTAAGTTTCAAAGTGTATGTTTACTATATTCCTTAAATTTTCTATGTAGTTTAATTCTGTAGTTTCATTCTTTAAGTTTTAAGATGTATGTTTTTTTTTATTCTTATCTGCTGAGAGCAGGTCTACTTTTGTAGTGGGACTCTTTAGTCCTTTTAAAGTGAACCCAATAAACAAATTTCAATTTTCTCTCTCTCTCTCTCTCTCTCTCTCTCTCTCTCTCTCTCTCTCTCTCTCCCTCTCTCTACCTCTCTCTCTCCCTCTCTCTCTCTCTCTCTCTCTCTCACGCACATGCACGCACAAACGTCAATTACTGAGGCGACTCGATGCGCTAGTCAACAAAAGGTCTCGCGGGGCACAGGTGCCGGCCTGCCGGCGTGGCCTGCCGGGGCTGAGCCGGAGCTGAGCCGCACCGTGCGCCATTTACTACGAGTTGTCAATTAAATTCCGCTAAACGGACAAGACCGGTGGCGCGGCCCTGCGGCCCTGCCGGCCCTATAGGACGCATTGCTGCCGCACTGCTATCTTGAATGCGTGTCCCATTGTCTTGCCGCGCGCTGCCCGCGCCGCTCTGCCCGCGCTGCCAGGGTGCCCGCCAGTGTGCCCGCGCGCCCAAGCGGCCAAGCGGCGAAGCTTTGTGCATCACGCACCGATAAGCCTCAACTGCCCCTCTTCGTCCTTCTTCTTCTTCTTCTTCTTCTTCTTCTTCTTCTTCTTCTTCTTCTTCTTCTTCTTCTTCTTCTTCTTCTTCTAAAGTAATCGCGATGGGTATCGATTAGCAGTTAGATCGGTATTAAAAAGAGCGCGTTCGATTAATCGATTGTTAGGCCAGGCGCAGTCTTCGTCGTCGTCGTCTCCTTCGTTGTCTTCTTCTGCTTCGTTTTGAAGATGTAGTGTAGGCAAGCCCGCAGCGTCCAACGCGCCTGGAGCTTGCCTACCTCCCGGGGGCGCCTGCTCGTCCTCCCACACTGTTGTGTGTGAACGTGTCGTGTGTGTGTGTGTGTGTGTGTGTGTGTGTGTGTGTGTGTGTGTGTGTGTGTGTGCCGAAAAGAGAGAGGGCGAGTGGGATAGCAGAGGTATAGAGGAGTAAAGTGAGCCCTAGCAGAAAGCTTTTCCCGAATGTCCTCCGTCTCTGCCAGGCGGTGCCAGCGAGGCGGGGCGGGGCGGGGCGGGGCGGGGCGGGGTGGGGGGCGCGCCAGGCCGCTGCAGACTGATTCCGCACAGTGCGGAGGGGCCCCGCCGACCGACAGTACCCATGAGTGCGAGAGAGACAGAGTGATGCGGGTGGGCCCCTCCGCACTGTGCGGAATCAGTCTGCTGGTCCTTCCCCGTCCAGCCGCGCGCCGTGCGACTACCAGCCAAATGGAGGAGAAATTCAATTCTTCTCTGAAAGAGCGAAGAATGGAGCTCTACCCTCGTTCCAGTCAGTGCTCGAGTCCTTCTGTCCGTCTGTCCGTCCGCCTGTCTGTCCGTCTGTCTGTCCGTCTGCCTGCCCTCCGTCCGTCCGTCCGGCAGCGCGGCCGGACACACACTCGGCTTTGGCGGGATTTGCTCGCTCCGTCTCTCTCACTCTTCATTTCAGCGTCGGACGCGTCTCGGTCATACGGGCATTATGAGGGGAACCGAGAAAAGAGTGTGTTCTTCCGAAGATGAAGTCGCCCGCCGGACGACGCCGGTGGGGCCGGTGGGCCACTGCCAATTTGGCTGTTTTGCAGTGGTGGGGCAGTGGGCTGTATGTAGTACCCTCCTCGTGGGCCAAATCACACGAATGGCTAGCGCTGGCTCGATGAAGGAGAGTCCCCCGCAGAGTAGGCCAGAAGACCTGTGGCGGCGGACAAAACTCTAGACGCGTTTTGAGCTCCAGAGTCGCTAAATGGGACTCGAACCGAACGTGTGACCCCACCAATGGGTCGCTCTCCGAACGAGGCATCCATTGGTGGGACACACGTTCGGTTCGAGTCCCATTTAGCGACTCCGGAGCTCAAAACGCGTCTAGAGTTTGGGCCGCCTCCACCGGTCTTCTGGCCCACTGTGCCCCGGTTCCTTCCGGTTCCTTCCGACCTGGCTGGGACGGAGACTCCATCGCTGCTGGTCTGTGAGATGGCCCGGAGTGCGCTTTTAATCTTTCAACCCGGAAACACTCACAAAGAAAATATCTTCCAGTACAACTAGTATTTTTTGAAAACGTAAACAAAAAATTTAAAGATTAAAAGTTGCGAAAAAGGTGGAAAATGACAACCTGTGGGATTTGAACCAGGATCCTGGCCGTGGAAAACGGACGACTAGCACCGCGCGACCACGGCGTCGCGTTGTACCGGCGGGGTCGGGCCGGGTTGCGGCTGAGGCGAGGCGTTGTGTCGGCGACGCCGTTGGGGTAGAAGGCCATAAACGCTGCCACCGTGCTGATCACTCCCGGAGCCTCGCAGCGGAGCCTTGCGGAGCCGAGCCTTCTTAGCAGGCTAGCGGGCGGGGCCTAGCCGAGCCACAAAGACCGGCCCGATAATATCCTGCCGCATCATCCTCTCTCCCTTCCTCCCTGGAGCCCTCCTCTCTCTCTCTCTCTCTCTCTCTCTCTCTCTCTCTCTCTCTCTCTCTCTCTCTCTCTTCTCTCTCTCTCTCTCCAGCAGTGTCTCCCCTTTGGCCGACACGTCCTCGAGGCGTGCTAAGCCCTGTGTACTCATCACCTGGACAAGAAGACATCGCCCGGAGAATGACGGGGTTTAGCTGCACAAGATGAGAAATGGGGGAGGGGAGGGGGATATTGCCTAGTATCGCACGCGCAGACACACACACACACACACACACACACACACACACAATATCCCGGCAGAAAAAAATAAGAAGTGAGACATAAGGCATAGAAGGGTGGAACTGACAGAGAAAGGAGAAATTTGAAAAAGAACGCGCGTGGGTTCAAATACCCATTCAGTTTGAAGAAGAAAAAAAAGAATTCTCTTTTCCTTTTGTGTTTATTGACCGCGAAACGAACACTCGGGATATGGAAGCCAATAGCCGCGTAATGTGGTGATTGTCGATCGATTTGTCTCATCGACAGCCGGCAATACACTGTGGCCTCCCCCGCGATCGCCCGTAACCCTCTCCCACCCCAGAGAGAGAGAGAGAGAGAGAGAGAGAGAGAGAGAGAGAGAGAGAGAGAGAGAGAGAGAGAGAGAGACGAAGCTCTGCCTGGATCAGCGTGCTGAGCGCACCCTTACCGGCCCATTTGTCGCTTCGGCTCGGCTCGGCGCCGGGTGACATAAGAACAGTTGTTGAGCCGCTCTCTCCCTCTCTCTCGCTCTCAGTCTCTCTCTCTCTCTCCTCCAACAC